AATGAAAGCAAGTTCAGAAAATAGTTGGTTTGCATCAGTAATGCGTGTTTAGAAGCTAGGATTTGTCACAGACAGGAAGATTCTGGATCATAAATATAATGACTCATTTGACCACTTAGAGTGAATACCACATCATATTTTGATCATGGATCAGTTATCCCTTAAATTAATTGATAAGCTGTATGGACCCCAAAAGCTCAGTGAATGTGATTTTTTTACACATTTGTCCAAAAGAAAGTGATGCCTTTGGAGAACATTTTTATAGAGATGACTAGAGTTATTTGATTTTGTTATTTGTCATTTTTGTTAAATGATTAAAGAATGAATAGAAATAAAGAAAGAGAGTAAATAAAACCACTTCTCAGTATGTTTACATCTAATGTTCAATGATTATACAATTTCTACAATAATCATTTGTTTGAGAATTTTACTTTACTTTATTTTACTTTAGTGTTTAATGTTATTATATTATCTATAAATCCTAATTTGTATTCTGCTGTAATGTTTGCAACAATGACATTGAAATTCCCCCACTGTGGGATGAATACACTTCCATCTTATCTTATAAAAAATAAAAATTGTAAACCGCTTTGTGACTCTGGTCTGTGAAAGGCGGTATATAAATAAAGATTACTTACTTACTTATCTTTTTGCAAATGATCGATTAAAATATACAGCCAAAAAAATACATACATGTGCAAACTAGTAATGGAATCAAACTGTTTTGCGAATGATTTCTTGTTAGGATTTTTATTACAGTCTTTGAAACTTAAGTCAGGTGCCCGGCTTCAAGTTGATCCTCGAGTATTCAGGCCTTGTTTTGCTCTGCGTTTCTGGCAGATGGCTTCATAGTCTCTCAAACAAGCCTTCAGAGAGGAGACACGACGCCTCGATGCAAACAACCATCACATCACTGCCCTAATAGCTTTTTCCCACTGAGTCAGCCATAGAAACACACCCTTGTAATAACTTGTGCTACCACAGGCTGAGCAGGAGGAGATTGAGAAATGTGGCGGCTGAATATACGACTCAACACTCATCTGTGGGGAAGACGGAGGGGTCAATAACAGACACAGAGGCCAGAATTGTTTGCCCGGTTTTGCCATCAGTGGATTCAACTATGGATCTGAAATGGCAATAAGATTCTCCGCGAGATGGCTATTTTCCCCCATGTTCCTGCTGAGAAAGTGTTACAAAGGGAAATAGGCTTGTACCACACATACGAATTATGGTATGTGCGAGGAAAATCTATTGAATTGAATTTTCAGGGGTTGGTGAAAGAGCAGCAAAACCTGGCAACGTTGTGTTCCGATATAACTGTATATTACATGCACTAGAATGTACAGAATGTTATACTTGCTCCTTATTATGCTAAATCAGAGGTTTTTACTGTAAGTCTTGCTTCTTCATCATGCTAAAGTGGGAGATTTTAAGACTTCTTTCCTTATGTTAAAGATAGAGATTTTATACTGTTTATTTTTTATGCTAGAGTCAGAGATTGTATTTTATTTTTGTATAGAGTTATTATTCACTTATCTTGTGCTGTGTGCTCTACAAAGATCATAAATGGAAATTTAACTAATAATAACGCATGGGCTTTTTTGGACACTCAAAGATACTTCACATGTCCTTATTCATTCACTTAATTCACTGTGGTGACAAACTACTACTGTAGCCACAGCTGCCCTGGGACACACTAAAGAAAGCAAGGCAAAAAATATGTCATCGGCCCCTTCAACCACCACGAAACCATTCACACACACACCAGACTCATTCAAGGCAATGTGGATAAAGTGCCTTACCTAAGGACACAATGACACTTTACAGCTGCAGCCGCCCCACGGCAGCACCTGGTGTTCTCAGGGTTCTACCATCACAGTACTAACCAGACCCTGCCCTGCTTAGCTTCAGAGGTCTGACGAGATCTAGCTTTCGCATGCAGGTATGGCCACAAAACTGCTAACTGTATTTTGAGTGGACTTTGCATGTGTCTGCATAGGTTTCCTCCAGGTGCACTAGTTTCCCTAATAAAACATGTACAATAGCTCCCCTCTTAATGGGGCCAGGACTCCCCTGAAAATGAATCTGAAATCTTCGTGGTTAAATAACAAACACTCAATTCCATGTTACTTTGTCAAAGCAGCAATGTTGTATTTTAGGCCCAATGCCATACACATGCAGCAGCACCTGTCAGCAGTCTGTGATTTGCATGAAGTCAAAAACTATAAATATTGCAATCAGTGCATAGAGTCGTGACCATTACCTACAATACTTAACAATCTAACCTCTGCGCACACTCGAGATATTTTCTGTACTTTCAGACCTGTTGTCTGGGAGACTGGTTCTTGTTTGGACAAGTTGTCAAGGAAACAAAGATGAGGTGAAAAAGCTATTCGGTGAAATGTGTGTTTGCCGTGTCGGACTAGTGGCTATGACAGCATAGCATTTAGATGTGCACTTCCAATTTGACACAAAAGAAAGTTCCATCCTATTGATTTGGTGATATTACTTTAAATAGAAGGTTGTAAATAAGTCCGGTGGATTATTTTTATTGCTAGACCTTTTGGCTTGAGCAGAGGCAGACGGTGTAGGGCAGGAAATCCTCAGTAGAGTAATTACGAACTGATGATCACCTCTGACAGGGACTGGGAACAATGCAGAAAATAAATGCTCATAATCACAGAGATTACAGGGCAAAGGTTAAACCCAGTCAATCTCTTCTTACTTTTCTGGAGCAGAAATGAATGGGAGGAGATTAAACTCAAAATGTGTATTAGCAGAAACCTGTTCATTACGGTGAAATTAGCAGTAGTATAATTGGAATCATGGATTAGTGACAAGATTCATATATGGTTTCTTGAGCCTGTGTGTTGTGTGTGTGTCTGTGTGCGTGTGTGGTGTGTTTTGTGTGTGTGTGATGTGGGTGTGTGGTGAGTTATTTGTGTGTTTGTCATGTGTGTTTGTGTATGTGCTGTGTTGTGTGTGTTGTGTCGTGTGTGTTTGTCATGTGTATGTGTTGTGCGTGTATGGTGTGTTTTGTTTGTGTGTTGTGTGTGATTTGTGTGTTTGTCATGTGTGGTGTGTTGAGTGTTTGTCATGTGAGTGTGTGTGTTGAGTGTTTGTCATGTGAGTGTGTGTGTGTGTGTGGTGTGGTGTGTGTGTGCCATGTTTGTGTGAGTGTGCTTGTGTCGTATGTGTATTTGCCGTATGGGTGTGTGCGTGTGTCATGTTTGTGCCATTTGTGTGAATATTGTACGTGTACGTCATGAGTGTGAATGTGTGTCATGTATTGTATTGTATTGTGTGTGTGCAGCAAGAGGGGCTGGGTGAATTTCTCTGTATTGTTGTGTCCTGTATTTTTTAGTGGTTTTAGTGGTTTAAACTAAACGATTACTATACTATACAAACTGTAAACGACAATAAAATACAGTTACATGCTCGCCAGCGGTTTGATGCTGTGAATTTCTTTTCTGAATGTCATCAAATATGTTCTTTGAGGCAGAAAATATAGTCAGAGGAAAATAATGGTCATACAATGAAGTACTGTAAGTGATGCTTTTGAAATAGAGCCATTTTAGTATAAAAGTGAGCTAAAACAAAAACCCATGTATTTCCCAGATCTGTGGTTCTATCACTTTCACATATTGTTGGTTTCTGTCTCATCTTTAGACCAGCTTTTTACTGAAGACTGCTCAGTATGTCCAAGAGGACATGTTTTCTGGTCTGATTTGTTCATAAAATGTTAAAGAACAAAAGATATGTATGAAAACAAAAGAATTAGGGACTCTAGCTTTAATACATCAAGAGTTCTTCACAAGTTCACCCATAATCATGATGAATTATTCCATTCATTCTAAGTCTAGTAATTATAAAGCGTTACCAATCGTTTCAATGTAATTTCATACTGATGCATTCAATTGCATATTGTAATTTTTTTTTCCTCACACAAAACAAAAATCCTGAACATCATTAATCATTGCTATTTTATACAAATGACATGCTTTTCTTGGCGGAAGATTGTCTGTTTCAACAAGTCCCTCTAATGACGTAGCTTTGCATTTTCTGCGCCGCATTATTTCCATCTATTCCTCAATTCAACAAACCAATATTACAATTTCCAGCGACAAAAAAATCAGCGAATGTGTCTGGATGAAACTGTTTATTCCTGGTCCGTTTCTGATTGAGCACAGCATGTCCCCATAGGTCGGATAACCTTTGGGATTACTACCTGAATGGTTCTACGTCTCGCTGCGCGCAAGCTCCAACAATACGCTGCATTGAAGCTCATAATAACACGTGATTACCTGCCAAAGGTTAAGCCGATTCGAGGTGATGTGTCTTCCAATCCTAGAAATTACACACAAAAAACACTCTGGGGGTTCCTTTGTCGGTTCGTTAAGGCCCAAAAATTATCAGATTGTCGCTTTGATAACATAATAACGTCTCTGCGGTGAAATGTCAACATAAAGTCACCGCAGTGGTTTCACCCAGGAGAACGGGAGCAGCTGGACTTCCACAGAACTAGACATGTCACATATTGCGCGAGTGATTAAAAAAACCCAGCGTGGCCTAAATATTTCCTCACAGCCTGATTTCCTCCATTTGCACACATCCTCTGCTTCTGAAAAATCAACAGCAAAAGCACCGCTCCTCATCCACCGCCCCCCTCCCCGTCTCTCGCCATATCTTTTTTTTGCAATGTGGGCTCAGATAAACTTCACAAACACAATTTCCCATCCCCGTCAGAATTCTACACAATGATTTATTCAACATGAGGGCTGGTACTGCTTCAGGCATTCGTCGGTTCTCCTTCTTAAGGTTTGGTCTCACCGGTGTCATCCAGCCCTGATCTGCCGCAATCGGGAGTGACAGTCGCAATCAGAAGCCAGACAGCCTTTACATTGAGGTTAAGCTTACCGTAAAATAAAAAAAGCAGCAGGAGTAATAACGGTAGACTCTCAGCACAGAGCCTCCCAAGTTTTTTTTATTGTCTTTCCACATCAAGGCGCCCTGCAGATAGTGATGAGGGCAGAGACTTGAGGGGCCTCGTGCGAATAGTACGTAGCCTGGGACGCATCAACCTCCCTCCGGTCGCATTGGGAGTGCGAAATCCCTGTCAACATGGCTAACACTGGGGTCTCATCTTAAGAAAGAGGAGATAGAGAAAGAGAGAGAGAGAGGTAGATCTCCGACAGCGACAGGCCAGGACGGAAGCAGGAGTAGCTAGGGTCATTGTCGGATCTGACAGGGGAGGGCAATGCCAAGCCTCATTTAGAATTCACTCCCAGACAGAGACGGGGCTCGTGCATCTTTTATTGGAGGGGAACAAAAGAATGCTTCGGTGGCTATTTTCACATAAGAGCAATTTTCTTAAGAGCAGCATCTAAAAGCCACAAACCAGAGAAAGAAAGAAAACATTTTTTTTGTTCTCTTTTTGGGACAAAGGCAGCTCTTGGTGCTCATTACTGGCTGCAGCAGTAGAAGTTCTCACCCTGCCATTGTTCAGGTCAAGAGGCACCTCAGATGGATGGCCAGGAGAGATGTCTGCAACACCTCCAGACAAATCAATATCTACTGTATATCCTTGTGCGTTTTATCTCCAAGTTCTGCGTGCGGCGAGTTGTGTTTCATTAAAACACTCATGTTTAAGGCCAATAAAAACCAATATCTGAGGTGCTCTCTAAAACCCCTGCCACGTGTTTCAGGGGTTTCGACTATCTGAAATGAAAATGGAAATTGCTCTTGCTAGCTTCCACTTTTGGCCAGCAAGTATGATTCAAAATCTCATTATAATTCAGTTGCTTAGTGTTGTATTAGACTGTGAGGGTAAATAACAAGGCGATGCGCAACTGTTCAAAAGGCTACTGGCTCGTGGTGATCATGTTGTGGGAGAAAGAGGACGCGCACAAGAAAGCAAATGAAAGCCTGTCTGCTTGTATAACTAGCAGCAACGACTGAAATAAATTTCTGTTTATGTCAGTCATAAAGCAGCAGTTTCTGAATACTAAAATCCAAACATTCAAAATGAAGTGTGGCCTGTCTGCTCTAATATTGTTTGGGTAATGCATCCCGCAAGCAAAACCGTACACATCCGCTTTACTTACTTATAGCTGTAACTGTTTGTTTAAAGTTGTTTTGAAAATAAATGGTAAATACTGAATATACTTTTGAAGGGGGTGTCAGTAATGTTATGTGTCCCAATATAAGTCAACATCTACAAATAATATTTAAACTTTTGTTCAGAAAAATGCAGCGTTGATTTATTTCTTTGTTAAAAATGCAGGCCCAATATAGTTCAAGTTGACAATCAGAGAGCAGAATGTGTCTCATTAAAAGAAAAAAAAAAACATTCACAAACACAAACAAGCATCATGCATGTGTTTGAAAAGGAAGCAGGTACAAAAATAAGTAGCCATATGTAATACAGAGTTTGTCATGTTTCTAGCTAAATCCCAGCAGGTGGTTTGCATCTGTAATAAGTCTGTCACAGGCGGGAAGATTCTAGATTGTAATTGTCTTGACGTTACTAGACCAGTTAGAGTGTAAACTATAAATAGACCATTAAAATGATGAAAAGAGATAATGTATTATGTTAAAAATGAGAATGAGAATATTTGCTTTGTCATTTCAAGTTTTAGAAGGATATGGCAAAACAAATGTAAAGGGTAATAATGTATATCAGCCTGTAATTCTGTATGCTACCACCAGAGGGAGTTGTTTTAAAAAAAATGTCTGCTTTGAAAATTAAATTTACTGGCTGCAGACACAGTCCTGAGAACTAATTTATGGACACTACAGGCAAAAAACTGCAGGAGCATGAAGCCACTGGGATACAATGACGTCAAACCATTACCGGACTCAGGCAGGAGTATTTAGATATGGGGGCCGAGTTACATGTTTCAGCCAAAAGTCCCAGATTTTAGTGTGGATGAATCTAAACAATGTTGTAGCATGGGTAAAACGATTACAATCAATTTTGTACTATAAGTCCCCTTTCATTAATTTCAGTTTTCATCATTTCAGTTTTTTCATAAACATTACTTACGGGGACTATTCTGTTTATACTGGGGCAAAGGCTTGATCCAAACAAGTGTAACAAGCATGAAAAACCCAGAGCGCACAAACATGCGTCTCAAATTGGAGAGTGATAAAATATTAATGTATTTTGTTGCTCAGAGATATCAGTATATTCATAAGGTTGCATATGCATAGTGTGGGAAAAAGTAACAGCTGTGAAATCCTTCGTTCTGCCCTTGAGGAGAATTACGGTAAAGTAAACACACTAAACAAAGCTTGTGATTCCTATCCTACAGAGCTTCCAATGTAAATGATATCAATTAGAAAGCAAGTCAGAATCTGTCAGCATCTGCTCCACTAATGCCTCTTTGAAATGTTCACCAGCGCCTTCATACGTAACTGCAATACTAAATCACTGCGGTAAATAGTCTTGGGAAGTCATTTGGATCGTGCCGATTTCATTACATCTGTGTTTTTCACTTTGGTAGAACAGAGGGTCAGTGTTTGCAGAGTATCTTTAAGAGACGACTGACACAAGTGGCTTGAAACGGTTCTATATGATACGATTCTATTTTTCAAAACAATACAATACAATTCAGAAATAGGCTTTTGTCCCCTTATCCTACACTATAAACAACACTATTAACGGTCTCCCATCACAGTACTGACCAGGCTCTGTCCTGCTGGGTTCATGATGGGATCTGGCTTTCACATGCAGGTATGGCCACACATTTTACCAACATTTAGACTAATTGTTATTGAGTCAAAATAATATAAAAAATTAAAATAAATCGTATGTAAACCCATCAAAATAAGAAATAAACAAATAAAACAAAAAAATTGGAGGAAAAAGGTTTTGAAGAAAATCGATATTACTAAATTATAACTCAATATTGGATTTAATTTTGAAAATATCAAACTTTATAGCGCACCGCCACACACACAGTGAAGACGACTATTTAATACGACTCTTCAACTTCAGGTTTCTGATTAAAGAGCTTTACATGTCCACAGGTTCAATTGAAGAGTAGTTAGCCTTTAGCGCCTTTCACTCACAGTGGGATAAGCAAGATCAATCAGCAATCATCAGTGAAATGTCAACGGCAGGTTTTGTTTTTCCACCAACAAAGGATTGGACGTTGCTAATTATAAAGCCCATAAAAGGTTTGATTTGAGTGAAGGCCTTGCCAATAGGAAGGTGCCATCCTCACCCGTGGCATATTTTCCTTGTTTTAATCACTCAAAATCTATTTGTCCAAGATTCTGTCGTTGTGTGAGAAAAAACTCTGGAGGATTTGCACATTGCAGGAGTCTGTAACAGTCCATATGTCAGAGGAACAAACAATGTTCCAAAGGACACTCAGCAGACGGTCTGGACATTGGCATTGATTGGTGAGGCTGACAATAACAGAATAGAGTAAGCTGCTTGTCAAGATGTGTGATTGCACTCAACTGTCTCTCTGGACACTGAATCATCCATTTCATCTAAATCATTGTTTTGCGGTGAACAGTGTCACTGTTGTAATCCTTTTTTTTTTTTCACTTGATGAAATATGTGCACAAAAATGAAACGGAAAGATATTATTCATGGGAAAGGAAATCAAGTGTTAATGTGATAATATTTCTTTGCCTTCACAATTTAAAGACAATGTGCTACATCACTCTTTCCCGCACCTTCACTGTAGTTTAAAAAGCGCAAAAAGACACATTAAAAGTAGTCATGAAGTCAATGAAACATTTTACTCATGTGACAAATAATATATTTATGGAAATATACTTATCACTCCAAAGCTAAGAGCTTTTTAGTAACAACTTTGATAAAAATGGGTTAACCAATTTTCCTGAGGTACAAATAAAGAAACATAATAAAGCTAGGGTTGCACCGATATCACTTATATCAAAACCGTTACGAGCACTTTAATTAAAGTAACTTTCGATACCGATTGTGTTGCATTGTGGGAATTCATAAAAATAATACAAATGAAATTTAAAATGTTTTATTTCTCATTTCAACAATAACAAAATACTTTAATAATTAAACGTCAACAATGAGAGCCACTGTCATATTCCACTCAAATACAAATGCTATGTTGTAGAGTTCGTTGTTTTTGTGCTACGGTACTAGCAAAGGTGCTATACACCGCGTGGTGGTGAGTTTTCAGATGTTTGATCAAGTTGCTGGTTTTATACGTGTTTGTTTTGGACCCACCACGTGACAGTTTTGCCTTACACAACGTACAGTCTGCTTTACTCTTGTCACAAAAACTGCTATACGGCCGACATCTGCCATGCTGCAGACTTTCAGAGATCACCATGGCAACACATGCCGCACAGCGTCGTGACGCTAATATATTTAAAATGTGGGTATTGGTTGCGCGGCACCTATGGTATGAGTATGAGTACGAGTACAAGCCTATGGTATCAACCCGATACCCGCATCAGTATCGTAGCGGAACATCCCTAAATAAAGCATAATTTATAAAGCATTAACTCCTGAACTGTTATGTGAATAATTACCAGTACAAGTTCAACATTAATCAGAATGCTAAATAGTAATCTAATTTTTTTTTATTTTATATGTGCACTAGTTATCCTCGTAGGGAACTTAGCCCTCTGCATTTGACCCATCCTGGAATGCCATTTGGGCGTCTGCAGGAGCAGTGGTCGCCGTAGTACAGCCCCCTGGAACCCATCTGATGTTCGGCTTGGTCAGGGCTTTCAGAGCTGGAGGATTTACTGTACCTATTGTGCATGTTTTTAGTGGTAGGGGAAACCATAGCACTCAGAGGAAACCGGAGCACTCGAAGAAAACTGGAGCACTCGGAGTGAACTGGAGCACTCTGAGTGAAATCTACGCAGACACAGGGAGAACAGGGAGAACACAATCAGCCACCATGCTGCCCGGTTTCTCATTTCCCCACATTTGGACCATAGACAGTGAATAATATGGACAGGACAGCTTGTGGCCCATTCTCCCATTCAAATAAATGAAGTGAAAAAATAATAATAATAATTTTGTAGCACACCCCATTTTGTGAAGATGGTTATTTGATAGGTCTCATCAGTGTCAGATCTATGAGTGTCAGATCTATGAATAAAGAGTATTACATGTCCACAGGTTTGTTA